CGCTTCCTCCTCTGCAACTCCCTCCATCGAATCTTTTGTGAAAACAATGCGTTATGTAAAGACAAAAGAAATGTCTGTCACAGAGCTCACTATTTTATTTACAGAGCTATCAGTGTGCTTGTCATTACAGAATTAATAATGTGGGTTCCTGACCCAAGATTGTTATGGCCTAAACTAACCATGGGACAAGGGTTACAAAAGTAAAAAGCTTGTAGAAGATTCAGTAGAGTATTTGTCTTTTGCCAAGTTATGTGACTATTTGAATATTGCACTTCTCCTTAGTTAACTGCCAGAAGAAGCAAAGTTCAGCAGTAAGGGTGCAACCAAGTTCAATGCTGTAATACCAATCTAGAGGAGCAAGCCAAAAGAAGTGATCTGAAAGAGCCACGTACCACTACGTGGAGCAGACCCCTAATGTGCAGTGAGGGGGCTAGCATGATAAACACAGAGCAAGTTACAAGAGGAAGTCATGGGGTGAGCAGGCACATTTTATACCATGCTCGGTAACCTCAAACAGAAGAGGGAAGTGTCAAATAGAATGGCAGAGCTTATCTACCAGCCTTCTCACCATCCTTTCAAAGAATTTCAGTCAATTCTGCAGCCACCATCTAGAAGAGCTTTTCTGCATTACTTCTTTCCATGGTAGAACTTAAATGAACATCTGAGTTCCTTCTCATCTGCAAGCTAATTCACTCCCAAACCCCATTTATATTAAACTCTAAAATGCTAAGATGTGGTTTATATTAAAAGATACTTTACAAAAAAGTTACAACCTATTACTGAACCCATGGGCTTTCAACTCCATGAAACTTAGTCTGGACAAAGTTTACAGATTAGGTGAACAAAATCTGACAGGAACACAGGAATCACCATACTGATTCAGATTTTAAAAAATCTGAATTGTGTAAAGTATCCTGTGTTCAGGACTGGCCAGTGACAGATGCTTCAAGAAAATGTACAAAACTCAAACAGCTGTCAGGCTGATGATAAACCAATTCCCACACTTGAGCCCATCTTTATCTCTAACAAAGATGGGCTCAAGTCCTTAAGCAACAAGTTTAATCTCTCTTCCCAAATCAATTATTGTTTTGTTTGGTAACTGATGGCTTGGGGCTTTTTTTAAATCTCAAACCATATTAGAAAATTTAGATTCAAATGCAATAGCTGACATAGCTATCCATAATCACTTGCTCTCAAATTACTTTTATTTTTAAAGAAAGCTTAAATTAACTGAGTGTTGGAAGGCAAAAATGAGTAATCTCACAGTTTCCTAGCATAGATATAGTTAACAGTTAAACTCCCTATACAGTGCAACCTCCTTGGCTTGCTGATGCCACCAGAGCCAGTTTAGGTTAAGACTGTTACTCAGCAACTTATTAGCATGCAGAAAAAAGGTACAACTTTCAAAAGTCTGAGCCCTCACAATGTTAAAGGCTCAAAAACCAAGAGAATTCATATATAATTTGCTAGATGGCTGCACATTGAGCTTTATACTGCTCACTTCCTCTCTGCACTTCAAACATTTTAAATTACTGAAAGACTGTTCCCATTGGAAAAGCATCAGTGATTTAAATAGGCAGTTAAAATTACCAAAAAAAAGAAAACAGACAATATAATTTTGCTTTGTCCAGGGGACCCTAGTCCAGATTTTTTAACAAAGTTACTAAGAAGAGAGATTGTCATTATTTCTAGTGTTCCACACACCCTGTTTAAATATATTAGGGCTTCCAAAATCATACCTAGACTATAGCCAGCGCAAAGTAAGTTAGCATTAAAAATAAGTTAGCTACATTAGTTAACTTTAAAAATCTTGCGAGATTAAAAATAAGTTGGATGGCTCTCCCCCAATTATCTGTAAGAAAATGACTGTAATAATTAGTTATTAGTTTACAGCTCCATCAATTTAAACATCTAGAATTAACAGCCACTGTATCAGTCAGTCCTATCAAAACTTTATTAAAAAGCGACTGATCAGCCTTTTGTATTTTGTCTATCCACTTTAAAACATTAGGTATCATAGGCCAAATGCACAACCTTCCAGAAAAATGCCATGAGAAAAGCACTTTTTAAAACTGAACAGTCTAGGAGGAAGTTAAAATAAACTGCTCATGTATTCACGTTTTTTAAAACTGAATTTATGTGGCCTATTTTGTGCTATACTCACCATGTTCGGAGCAACCGTAGCAATCAGTTTTACTTCTTGGCTCTCCTGAAACAAGGCAACTGTGTTTGACTTTCATTGGGGAAATCTAGCAGTGCTGGGGAGTAGCTCAATTAATAAAAGCAAGTGTTTTTTACTGATTTTTTAATCAAGTTTCATGAAGATACTACTGTGCACCAGGGACTTGTTTTCATATTTGAACTGGTACCCAAAAAACCCCAAAACAAAACACCACTATTAGGTATAGTCATGCAGCCTCTCTTTTTGAGCATATTTATACAGTTAAAACATGCTTATATAATTAAAATTATCTACATGAAGGTGTATGTGAATTAAGTCCTGAAATATTTATGGTTTTGAAGGGGGGGGAGGAGGGGAGTTGTACTTTTTGGCCTTCCCTATCTGTTAATATTGTTCTAAAATTCTTACATTTCTTAAAAAATAATTCACGTGTAAGTTTTCACAGCATACCTGTGTGTGCATCATGTGGCTCTTCTTGTTTTTCTTTTAAAAAAGGAAATAAAAAGAAAACATCATTTATAACAACTTGCACCAACGCTAGCAGATTTCTTGTTTTATATACGCTCATTACAAGAACATGCCAAAACAATAGGAAATATGTGAAATTCTATTATATTAAAAGTTACAGCTACACAGAGTTGGCATGATGGTTTGATTAATAAAAATCCAGTTTACTTTTAGCACACACTGAAGTGTGGCAAGAAAGATTCCACATCAACAGCAACATGAATCAAAGCTTAAAAATTCATAGGACTTTATAACATTAAACAGCTGATGGTGAAATCTCCTTGGACTCAGGTTGAATAGACCTATGAGGCCACGAGGGGGTAAATTTGGGCAAACATAAATCTCTAAGAAAGACTACTTATATAGAAGGCACAACATAGTAACAGCTCCCTCCATTTTTTAAATTTGGCATCATGCATTTTAAGAAACAACAAGAATGCCCTTTAAAAGGTTCAATCAAAAGAAGTTATTTGCTACCTCAAGCTGCTATTTGTTAGTCAGTTATTGCTATATTCCTAATACATAAGGTAAGACAAGAAAGAAAGGGAAGATGCAGACATCTGCAAATTTATTTGCTATGTGGAAGAAAATATGGATTTAACTACCATCTCATTTTACCAAGTAGTAACACAATCTGCCTGAGAGAGAGAAAAACCCATCAGTGTGAGCAGGTATCATGTTCCCCCAGAAGGGGCAACATTTTGCTTTTCCGAGAATAGGATATTACTTTGTCAAAAAAGGAAGCAAATTCCAACCCAAACTGTTTCTATATGCTTGGCTATTCCTAGCAATACCTCATCTACCCCAGACTCCAGAACCTACTGTATAGAACCACTCCTAACTGTGTTAGAAACATATAGGAGTGACATCCACCCTAAATCAGCAACAGAATTTGGCACCAGGGGAGAAAGGGAGCTATTCGGAATATGCCAGTGATGTGTAGAATATAAGATCATTGCCATGCTAACACCGAACCAAAAAAAGGTTAATACTCTGACTAGAAACTAGTCAGATATTTATAGAACAATTCTACTGTAGAGCAAAATTGTTCTTTGATCAAGAAAATACACTTTAATGTAATGTTTGAGTCTTAACATTTTCCTGCTCTCACATATTTTGAATACTAGTTTAAATATAACCAACACCTTAGTTTAGGACTAATATATGCACTCGTAAGATTTTGCCAGCACTCTCAGCTTTAATCAGATTTCCTGCAGCCTTTGCAATGTTTGCGGTTAAGCAGAAACCAAGCTCAACTTGAGAAACTGGGTGGTTTTTTTGAGTTTCGATTTTGCTCACAGGGGAATCTTAAACACAGCTCTGGAAATGGACATCCTCTCATACAAGCCACACCCCCTCCCCCCAAGTTTGCAGAGAGGCCCATTTCTTTCTGTATTTTGTAAGAAACTATAGAAAAGTCATTCTACTAACATCATCAACAGTATCCACTTGGAACAGCCAACCCCTTGGCATTCTTCACACAGCAGCCAAAGTCCAGCCAGCAACAACATTTTGTTCTCAAGGCCTGACACTACTGCACTAACAAGCAAGATTCAGTAGTAAGTAAACTAGAATGTGTTAAACTTAAACCAACCTGATTCACACATTTTGGAATCTCTGTTTTCACTGAAGAGAGAATATTCTGTAAGACAAGGAACACTAAGATGATTAACACAGCCAGAAAAAAAAAGGAAGGAAATTAAGTAGTTACACTCACATGTGCAGTTCTCTTTACTGCAGCGACCAATACATTTCTCAGGACAAAAGCTATGAATCCACAACCACTTATACATTAGACATAGCTTCCTTTCCAACTCTCCAACAAAGGGTAGTTTTGGAATATGTCTTTTTAGAAAGAAACAAGGGATGTGGCAAATGAAGTAAAAACACTAACCCATCACGTTCAGTATCATGCAACTAGTAGAAGTCTATACTTCATGATGCAGAGAAGGCAGTCCTATCACACAAAATGTAACTGTATACAACGAATAGAGTGGAAGTGGTCTTTTCACAAGCTCCACATGTGATTCAGTTCATGCCAGGTAAGTGGGTTTCCTACTTCATTTTTCCTAGTTTGTTTAGATATTGTCATCATATTTAGTCACCGTACCTTTTCTCCAAAACCAAGAAACACAAGCAGATTCACTCACAACCCTTCTTTCATACCTTCAGCCAAGTACTGCTACAATCTCATGCACTTGATAGAACATATGCACTTCTACAGACTCCTTTATTTGTTAATTTCAAAGTGCTATGTACCAGTAGCACCCCTCATTAAACTTAAGACACTCCTTTTAAGACTCAAGACACCCCTCTAAAAATGCCAGCTCTTAGTTTTCACTTGTTTACTTGACTATAGAAAAATAAGAGTAATTTTTCTGTTGCAAAAAAAAACTCAGAAAGCTTGCAACAGGTCAGAAGGTTTGTAAATCCATGCATTCCTATTGAAATCTATGGGTTTATCTTGAGAACCTTGTTTGTACACTTAACAATGCTAACACTGCATGACACCCCCAACAGCACCCTTGCTGGGAGAATCAATCAATCTTCACAAATCCTTACAAGATAGGAGACCACTGTTTCCCTTTTGAAAGGTAAACATATGAGGTGCAAGATTATACAACAAATCAATGGTAAAACTGGAAAGGGAACCAAGGCCATCCCCCAGTTCCTACTCCCTGTTTTCACCACTGATCTATACTCCCTATAAATCTGTGTTTCAATAGTATTAGACTGCAAGGAGTGAAAAGCTCCTCCACTGGGTGTAGAAATCACTACTTACCTTCCCTTTGAAAACTTCTTATGCTGGGTCGAGTCAATTTGATGAAGGCATATTCACTCCCTAAAGCAAAGAGTGTGTTAAATGCATAACAAGCCCAAGCACCATGCTGTCATCTCTTTCTCCCAAACACCTCAGCCCTCCATTCCATTCCTTCAAGAATACTATTAAACTACTCCTCCCCTCCCTCCCCCACTACAGGCACACCAGACCCTCGAGCAGTTTGTTCACATGCTTTCGATTTGTGGGATGGGGAAGACAAAGTGAATGGTATATCCAAGGCAAAGGAGCATGGTACCAGCAGAAGCCAAGAGGAAGGGGAGTGGAAATAGAATAGGTTGTGTATAAAAAAAGGCAAACAGGTACAGTGGACAGGAGCACAAGCATCTATAACTACTATGACACAATCCAATCTAGACCCTGGAAATGATCCCAGGATCCCCAGGCCCCAAAGTTTCCCAGCTTTCTGGGAAGTAAGTTTGAATGCCATCGGCAAAGCATCCCTCATCCCTCCGTAATGGATATTCGACAAAGAGGATGTCCATTAATTCAAGGACTAGAGGTCTGTACTGTGGATGTAGAAGTCAAAATAAGCCTTTACCTAAAGTAAAAAAAAACAAAAAACAAACAGGCAGGATTCAATCCTGAATGAGCAATACGATCCAAGAAAAACTCCAAATCCTATCCTTTTGCTCACCATGTGCAAGTGACTTTTGTGAATGTGCCATGTTTAATCATACACCAAATTTGCCCCATCTCAATCCTAAAGCACCAGCAATCACAATCTGTGCATTGTCAATTTCCCTTTACATCATTAATGGATTAAGAAATTCATTTCCTCGCACACAAATCCCTTGCAAAATCGCCAATCTTGTGAGAGAGCAGGAATAAAAAAAAAAAAAGATAAACTGCAGGGTAACTCCACTCTACTAAGCACAGATGAAACTATCCTAACCATCAGGAAATAACTAGACTTCAAAGGACTGTGAAACCAAAGGTCTCTCTACATAGAAGCTTGGAGGAAGGCAATTTCTTTGCAGAAAGCAACAAGTAGCAGAACGCTCTTGGCTAAAGGTGCAGGTGCATGTGCACGATATGCTGGTCCAATATTGGATCAGCACCGATATAAAGAAAATGGACTGTATCAGAAACCGGCCTGATGTGCCTGATACTGTAGCAGATAAACATAAGCCAGGAGGAGAGCTGTGTGCAGCTGGTAAGTCTGTTGTGGTGCAAGGGGGAGGAGGGAAGGAGGGAGGGAGGGAGGGATGTGATGGGGGCTGATCAATTGTGGTGCACCAGCTGTGTGTGTGACTGACAAGAAAAGAGAGCAAGGGGATGATTCCCTTCATACCTACCTGCTGCCTACACCCCTCCCCCCAAGCAATAGCTGGGAAACCATTTGCAGCTCCACCAAGCCCCAATTTGCACCTCTACAGATGCAGCACCCGCTCTGCCACCTCGCTGGCTGGACTACCACCTAACACAGTCGGGAAAACTCCGCAGGGTGGGGGGAGCTCCCTGACACCTCCCTAGAGATTTTTAGCAGCGACCCCACAGGAAGCTCCGAGCAGCACCGGCCGCCAGACTGGGGGCGGGGGCAGCAGCGGGGCAGATGCTGCCATCACAATGGCTCCCGCAGCTCGGGGCGGGGGCGCTTCGGGCCCTTCCCTGCTGGCGGAGGGGCTGGTGCCGCCGCGCCAAGAAAAGGAAGGTAAGGGCAGTCACAGCCACCTGTACGGGGCTGAGGGTAGCCGCAGCGAGGGACCGGACCGGACCGGACCGGGGCCCGCCCGCTCACCTCCCAGCGCGTCAGGCATCCCGCGCCGGGGCGCAGTGTTCGGCAGGTTCGCCCTGGCCGAGGCACCGTCTCCCGCCCAGCGCCCCGCCGCCGCCGCCGCCGCCTCCCCCACCGGGGGCCGCTGCCGCGAGCGCAGATCGTAGCCCGCGCCAGCCGCCATCTCCGCCTTCTCCGTTTCCGTGCCGCTGTAGTCCCGCCCTGCTCGTTCCGCCGAGGGCGGAGCCAGAACGCGTACTTCCGCTCCGCTGCACTGGGGGCCGGAAGTGCTGGCAGCCCCCGGCTCGACCGCGCCTGGCTTGGGGCCGCCATCTTGTGGGGCGCTCGGCTCAGCGACGGGGGCGCCGCGCGGCCTCAGAGGGACCCGCGGCGTAGCGTGGGCGAGTGACATGGCTTCGGACCTTCCTCGGTCCGATCCGGTCCCGTCTCCCTCTCCCCTCCCTGCGGCCGTGGAGGTGTGCACAGTCCGGGCCGGCGTCGCGTCTGCAGCCCTTGCTCCCCGGCGCCGCTTGTGACGGGCAGCGGCTGCGGCTCCGCCCCCGGCGAGGAGCAGGGCTGGGAGAGCCCGGCCTGGACGAGGCTGCCCTCCAGCGGGCGCAGTGAAAAGAGCCTCCCGGGCGCGGCGTGGAGCAGCCCAGAGCGGACCTCCGGCATGGGGCAGGTCCTACCGAACCGGCTGGGCGGCGGGGGCCGGACAGGCTTTCGCTTCAGAGGCGGCAGGACGAGCTTGTGCCGCCTCTGCCCCCGCCATGTTGCTCCGTGGTTTCCCAGAGGCTAAGCATGATCTTATTCCAGCCAGCTCAAGTTCCTGAAAAAAGCAGCAATGTGCTTAAGTTTTAAGCCTAAATTGGACAAACAAAGTCACAAAAAGAAGCAAGCTCTCTCCGACGGTAACAATTTTTCATGGACTCAAGAAGGTGGGAAAAGGATCTCCTTTAGAGTGCCCTCCTACCATTTAGAGATGTTTTACAGACACTACTTGGATCTGGCCCTAACTCTTCCCCCACCCCACTCTGCTGGAGACAAGCAGCACAATATTGTTCTGCACCTTTGGTAGCAAATCGAAAATAAAGGAGCAGTGTGCACTAGGGCTGTGCGAAACGGAAGTGTTCTGTTTTGACTGACAGTTCGACGGGAAAGTGTTTTGTTTCAAGTCGAAACAGCTGTTCCATATTGTTCTCTGGAAACATTTCCACGTTTCGAGCCTTTCGACATTTTGTCCATAAGATATAATGGGGAAGGTTGAAACAGGCTATAACATTGTCATTTCTGGCCTGATTTAGATTAAACTTGCAGGAATGGTAGCCCCTTATGAGGGCCTGAAACCTGCCAAGCTTCAAGGAGATAGGTGCAGGGGGTTCAGAGAAACTGCACCCCAAAGTCTTGAGAGGAAAACTCCTGTCACTTGAAACCACAGTGGGGTCAAACTGCAGGCTTGCTAGCCCCTGCTGAGATAACGAAGCCTGCCAGGTCTCAGTGGGATAGGTGCAGTGGGACTCTGGGTTCTGGGGCCCTGCACCTCTGGCTGGTGACAGGCAAAACTCGTGACATGGGCAGGTGACACTGTGTGTTCAGGTGCGCCCCTCCTGGCACTGGGGCCTCTGCACAACACAGTGGTGTGCCCCAGTGAGGCTCCTCCTCCCCTACAGCCTCAGTCCAGTCCGCCACTGTAAACAATTGCAGGTGAAAATAACGTAGCTGGCTCAACAGCAATGGCACCAGCAGCATCTAAAGTACCCAAATGGAACTATCACAGAGCCTTTCTTGTTATAAAGGAATTGACAGCAAGAAGTAAAGATGTTGTGTTGGATATATGTTACTTGTGGTGTGTGTGATGGCTTATCCTGTGTTTTTATGTTTGTATGTTCATTATGAAAAAAAAGGAATGGTTAGAGAAATATTTCTTTGGAAGCTTTCAGGTTGAAAAACCCTTTGTCAGGCTGAGGAAGTACCTGCATTTGATATGTCTCCTGGTCCTGGATGGAAGGAATAGTAAAGAAGCCAGAGGCTGGCCTGGCACCCAATGCAGGCAAGAAAGGCAGTCAGTGAAAATGGCAGTGGAGGTGTCAGGGGAGGGGGGAAAGGGGGTTGTAACAGTGCAGGTAAAAGTGCAGAGGTACCTGGGGAGTCAGATGTCTGTCAGGTTGCAGTGACCAGGTAATGCCAGGTAATAATGATTCCTTCTGGCTTTATCATCATTATGTGTCCTGCAGCATTTATATTCTGTTAGTGAACATGGATTAAGCGAATGTTCACACAGTAGGAACTAGATGACAGCAATGGTACACACTGTTGAAGGATGGCAGAAGAGTCTGATGCATTGCATTTAACATGCAGTCTACATTTGCCCAGGATGAAGTACAAACAGAAATGTGTTTGGGTTTTATTAGAGTCTATACAGTATAGTGGGGGTGTCTCTTGCAGTAGGGACAAAAGACACATGGTCCCAGGCTGCAGCAGCCCACCAAGACTGGACATTGTCTTGTTATCACTAATGAAGACAGTAAGGAAATCCTGATTGTTGACGTGACCAGGCCCTTTAAAAACCAGTGCCAGGCTTTTGCTAAAACCTGGGAGTGAAAGCTGATGAAGTCCAGCCTGAGACACTGAGGAGAAAGGGGTACAATATGATGGTGCAGGCATTGAGCATCAATGTATTTGGTGCATGGGATCCAAGCAATGATAGTATCCTGAGTGCCTGCAGAATACCTGGCACTACTTCAAGATGATGAGGCACTTTGTGGTCACCACCATCAGATGGTCAACAGCTGCCCATCATTGGTAGAAAGAGAACCAACGGAGGACATCAACCAGAAGCAAAAGTGGGGAGCAGACTGCAAGAGACACCCCCACTTTCTGCCTCAAGGAAACTTGGCTCACTTTACAGACAGGTGCTTCACCCATTCAGCCTACTTCAACTACTTCCATAACAGCACTTTCCACGGCAACTGGGACAAGATGCTGGACAAGCCCCTGCTCCATGTCCCATGTGGCTGCAAATTGCACACAAAAATATGGCAGAAAGTGGTTGCTGGCATCCCACTTGAAGGTAACCTTGAAGACTTTGCCATGGTTTAGTTTCCCCTTCCAGTTGTTGATGTACTTCACCCCATGGCCTGTTCCAGGAACCCCTCTAGGCTGGTCCTCACTGTGAAGGCACTGACCATGATCTGGTTGGAGGTTGGGGCTTGGAGTGCCAAAACCTCCAGCTCCCACTGATTTTTGATCCATGACCAGCAGCAGCAGATACACTTCCCAAGGCATGATATGCCATTATAGGCATGGTCCACAGCAAGGCAAGGTCCCTGCCATCTCACCTGAAACCTCCCTCCAACCAAGTGCTCAGGAACATGATCAGATCTTCAGTGGATAGTGGCCTAGCAATCTGCCTTTTGGCAGTGTCTTAAGACTTTTTAACAGCAACACTGCTCACAGCTCACTGAGGCAGGTCAGGAGGCAGAAAGCAAGGGGTGCTACCATAATGTTGCAGTGATTCAGCTGGTTCACAGCCCAGAGGGACAGAGTCCATGGCATGCATAGTCCACACTATGAGGCGTGACAGATTTTGCATTTGTAGTCTTTGGTCATAAATCATCTTTTTTTCTCCCTTCTTTTACATCTCTTAAGCTTTCCTTGTGCTGTAGTTCTGTTTTTTTACTTATGGACATGTTTAGAACACACTTTGATTGAACAATGCTTTATAAAATTCTAGAGTACTATAAATAGGTCCACTCTGCTCTGCTATTGTTTCCTAAAAATACATGTTTGCCATGGGAAACAATGCCACTGGCTGATCTATTCATGAAGAGAAATGCAGCTGCATTCAGAGAGGGTGAAAGGGACTACACATCCCAGCATTCCACTCGGGCAACCCAAGCCGGTACAAAGTTCATTGTCACGTTGACAGTGGAAGGATTCAGAAGCGGCGGGTGTGTGCATTTGAGAGGACGGCTTTACATTTCTCACGTCAAAACTAAAGTGTCTCTGGGAAGCTGGCAGTGCAGTTAAGTGGAGGTGTGTGTGTAACAACCCTCTGCTGAGAAATCTCCCCAAATTGCTGCATCTAGACAAGTAAGTTTTGAACTTTTTACACAGTAGAGTTGCTTTTTATTTCTGACTTCCGGTTTTTTCTAAAAAGCACAACGCAGGAGTCAGGCGCTGGGAACTAGAAGAGAGCTGAAATTCCTGGGAGCTGCGGGGAGAGAGCTGTAAGTCTGGGCGCTTGCGCTGTAAGGGACCACCATTTGTGTAATTCCAAATATGGTACGATGTTCTGTTAGACGGCATGGACATAGAGGCACCATACCAACTGCTGTGGGTCTCTTTACATCAAGTACAGAGAGCAAAAACTGCTGGAACTAGACACAGAGACTTTGTACTACAGCACATCATTGATGTGACCCAACCTCCAGCAGGGAAAGTTTCTCATAACTTTTACCATGTACTTTCGCATACCTCGTAACTTATGTGTGAGGACAAGAACCTTCAGTGCTCATGACAGCTATCTGGCTGCACAGTGCACTGCATTAGAGAAGATTTTATATTTGTTAAAGAAATGGAATTCCATATTGCTATCCTCTATTCTTGCTGTCCTACCCTCGGGCAAGGTCTTTGAGACTTGTTAAAAAGGCATTGTAGTAATTTTTTGGGTATCTATTCTTTCTCTATCCAAGTGCTCCTCCTTCCCTTTATTTGTATTCTGTGTATAATTGTGTAATCCAAAGGATTTGAATGAGTGAGACAGAAGCCCCTTGATCACAGAGACAACACAGCAAAGGTAGGCATTAGGGCTGTGCAAAATGACTGTGTTTCATTTCAGTTTCAGATTTGGCCATTTTGGAGGACAGTGATTCATTTTGGTGTTTCAGATCCCTGTTCCGTTTCAATTTGGCTGAATCTGTTTCAGAGTTTCAACTCTCTTGGCGCTGATTCAGATCAGCCAGGGGAGAGGCAGGCACAGCCGGGCGGCTGCAGGTTCTCCCGCAGCTTCTCCAGCTCTGCCTGCCTCTGCCCCAGAGTGGGGAGCTGCAAGAGATGCCTCCATGACTGCCCTGCCTGACTGTTAGCAATAAAAACTTAGGATTCCAGACTAGCCCAGGGACTGACACAACACCTCATTCGATAAGTGACAGAAAGGCTTTATTTACTACAAGTATTTAAAATCAAGTCAAGTGAGCCCAAACCAAATCAAAGCCCAGTAATTAGCTATAAGGTGATGATTTCTCACCAAACAGGCGATGAAGAGGCAGTCTGTTTCTCTTCAAGTTCGAGTAAGTTGGGCGCATCAGCAACTGGTGTCAGAGAGATTTCTCACTCTTGAAGCATGTGTGCTATTTGCTGTTTTACTGCCTTTTTATACCCTTAGTTAAGCATCTTCAAAGCATTTGTTTAGTTGTGTAAATCAAGAAAGAGTCCCAAGCAGTAATTGACAGGAAAAACCTGCTCATTACAGGTTATCAGAAATTTTTAATTTGAATGAGTTACCTTCTTCGGTAACAAGAGGTTATCCAGTTTGAAACATATCAAGAAACTGATTAACAGGCAGGAAAAACATACTAAATCAGGAGGAGACATCTATTACATATGGAGAATGTCTCTTCCTGCACATAAACACGAGTTAGTCACAAAAGAAATATTTACCATACTAATTAATCAAGGATAGACATTTCATATGGTTACACACCAGACACCTAGGAGTCTGCTTGAAATCATTCTGAATATAGCAATATAAGCCGGAAGAGATACGTCATTATTCCTTCTTAGATGGCCTACCCATGAACTCACATCCTCTTGCAATATGCAGCTAGCATTATTATCCTGCATTTTAACTTTTGTGAGTAGACCCAAGCTTAGCATGCGTTTCAGAGTTATCACTGACCCTGGGCCCAGCCTCCCGGCACTTTGAAAGGCAGGCTGCAGGGCTATGCCAGACTATTCCCGGGGGCACCTCTGAAACATCTGAAACATTTGCGAAACATTTCAGATGGTTTTGTTTAGTTTCAAAGATGTTTTGGAGCCTTCCATTTCATTTTGTATTAAGTGTTTCGGGCACTGAAACAGGCCCAAACACCTCCAAAATTAAATGGCT